CGCCGCAGAGGAGAAAAGGAGGATGTAGTGGGTTGTGAAACCTGCAAGTAAGGCAGTGCAGGGCGCTCTGTGCCACTGACAACAGAATGCAGCTCATCGGAATGCACATGACTCCACGACAAATCCGTGTTCGGCTCAGCTGAGTGTAAGCCGTCTTCCCAAGACTGCTCTGACAGTGCTGAAACGGTATTCTCACCATGCTGTAGCAAGGCGGCCTGATCCACAATGGACACGTCAGCTTCCCCATCCGATAAACAAGGTGCATCAGAAACACATTCAGTCTCCTGAACAACACCCGCCGAGTCCAGGACGGTAGGCTCCGGGCTGTCAGGTCCCGGGAATGGAGACGGCCACTCAGAAGATGGTTCTGCAGGCATCTGATCTTGCAAAACTGCCGAGGTCTCGGCCACCAACGGGTTGTCTGTACCCGATGTAAAAGTGTTGAGAGTGCAATGCAGAGGATCCTCAGCCGAACCCTGACCAGGAGAATCCGAAGTGCTCGCAATAGCCGTGGGTAACGGCTTCTTCTGAAATCGCTTGACGATTGCAACTGCACCTGGTCTCGTCGCAGGTAGCGGAGCATCACCAGAAGAGTCGGGCAATGCATTCTCAGGCACTGAAGCAGAAGTCATGCGAAAGAGGCTGTAGCACAATGCAGAAAGCAAAAATGCAGCCCCACGCCTTGCAACCATGCACTCCACCCCCTATCTCGAGCGGGGATGAAGTGAAAAGGAGCTAGGAAACTCCACACAGGTTAATGGACCCCGAGCCTCGTCTAGAGGGCTTACACACAGGGGGCCCGTTCCTTAAAAATTTTGTCCGATGGCCGGACNNTCAGGCAGCTGCGAGCCTGCATGCTACATTTGCAATGCAATGTAGCAAGCATGCAAAACATAAACCAAACACACGTGAGCAAGCACACATACCAGAACTCCGTATGCAAATAGAGTCGTATGTCCAACATAGTCGACAGGCCTGCGATCAAATCTTTCTGTAAGTTGACGTAAGACAAGTCGCCGATAACATTGCTGGAGGACAATGTGATGGGACCTTTGCCACTGTAGGTGAGCTTATGTAGAGTAGGACTCGGTGATATCATCGCTGCATTGAATGAGCAGACACGATGCTGTCCGGTAATCAAAGTCAAGATGCCTTCCCGGGACTTGACACTCGGCATTGTGGTGTCAGAATACCTCGGATCTCTAAGGAGAAATCATATTGCGTGGTGAAACGAGCAAGGGTAATAACGCTTGAATGATTCCTCTGAAATGGGATGCATCGAAGCTGCGTGATGTCGACATCTTGTAGGATCATAGCTCGGCCGAAGGCCAACATAGTTGGGCTTACATCGGGCGGACCTGTAAACACGGCAGGAGATGCAAATACTCATTGGAGACAGATATTAGTGGCTCGCATATCTTGCGTGGTTCACCCAGGCCTATGGGATCAAAAAGAAGCGACATTGCTAAGGCAATGCACACGGCAAAGGCGGAAGCAGCTAAGAGTGTTGGTACGCTCAAGCACAACGCTGCGTGCATGATCGAGCAGAGACATTGTACATGAATGTCAGTCATGGACTCATTGCCGCCGACTTGTTAGGAATGGCGTCTGCAAGCAAACGTCAACCGGTCCTTCACAGTTGATGACAGTGGATATTCACGCACTCGATGGAAGTGGATGTACCTGCTCGAATGCACGGATGAAGACATATCCTTATGCATATGGAATCACCATTCACCTCCAACACTACCTGTGTTTCAGAACGTCCTTGCATTTCGTAAGTTTGACGTGGCGGACAGTATCTATACTTGAGATGTCGAATATCTGCAACGATAAGCCTCGATCGAATCACAAGCAAACCGGTGGATGCATTTATACTTGAGATGTCGAAGATCTGCAACGATACGCATCGACCGAATCACAAGCAAGCCGGCGGAGACAGTATGTGATCCTTCAGACGGATAACGATCATTATGGGCATACATAGCATTCTTGGATGCTGTTGATGACGTTTGACTATATCTCCACAGGGGTACACTGATCAGATCCCAAAGGAAACCTGTCTTGTATAAGGTGCAAGTGAGTCACACGGGCGAACTCCTCAGCCAGGATATGACAGAACCTCCAAGGAACACGCTTTTCAGTACGCGGAGGACACGAAGCAGAGGCAGGCTGTACGCACGGCACCCTCATTTTCACAGGCACGTCCGCTCATCTGCGAGACCGCCACGCGCATGTGGGGTTGTGGGATTTACCCGTGCGGATAAACCCACGCCTCAACACTTCACATGCGTCGCAAAAATGGGGATCTTCGTTAGGAAACCCCGGGTAAGAAACGCCTCGGGCGTTAGCTTTGCCGCGATGGTTTGGCGCCGGGTCTCCCGGAAAGATAAAAGGGTACGCCGGGTACGCCTCCTTTGTGCTGTGCTGCACTCTTTTTGGCTACCCTCAGCTGGGAAAGAGCGCGCGTGATGTGTAGGCCCGAAAATCGGGTATGTTTCGAGCAGAATCGAAGTGTGCCATGCTCAGCACCCTAACCCCACTGTAAAACCACATCGTACCGGCTAAAACTTCCATGCTTCCCGCTACGATCCAAAAAATCACGTCCCAACGGACTTGCCCAGACTTTGGGCACCTGGTATCGTAGTCTGGAGGTCTTGAGCCGTTTGAGCCTTTGAGCCGTTTGAGCCTTTAGGGTTTAGGGCTTAGGGCCTTTAGGGTCTGTTGTCATTTAGGGCTTGAGCTTGATGATGGTTTGGGGTTCATTGCTATGCGAAGTTGCAGTGGAGTGAAGGATTTTTGATTTTATGTTTTGCAATAGTGCTAAACTTGACAAGGGCGGGCGATTAAGACTCAGCACCTCTCGTTTCAGCTCCGTTCTACTACACTCGGTAAGCGACTTCATGCGGGACTTTGTTAAGATCATGACTGCAGCCACACATCACGCAGTGCGAATTTAAAGCGATAGCATTTTCGCCTTGAGCGCTCGGCTGCGACCTGCGATGCACCGCACACTACACACGCACAGAGCTTTGTCAGCTACCGCATTCATCCATCATCACAGCCTGGCTTCCTCTCTGGAGATGGGCAAGCACATATGTCACCAAGTGGCCAAACACCGGCACAGAAATAGAATTCCCTGCCAATGCTTTGACTTGCGGATCTGAGAGCTGCCTCGGGCCATCCAGAATTTCCTTGAAAGGACAAGCGAACCCGGTGGCCTCGAGATGCGGATACACAGGAAGTCCCATCACCACCAAATGCTCCTTAGCCAAAAGCTCTCTCTCGGCAGATCGGCCAAAGCACCACACCGTGCTGCTTCGCAGAAGGGCTGGACATGTCTCACTGATGTGTCCGAAGCTTTCTGCATTCTGCCCAAGCATGCACAGTCCCGTGGAAAGGCCCTGCTCCCGCAGCCGATCCCGGTACACCTCCCGCCTGACGGCCATGGCCGGTGGCAGCAACTGGGCAACATCCAGCAGGCTCGCAGAAGACCTTGCAAAGCCTCGTTCAGCTGCTCTGCTTGCTTGGTGCTCCGACACATCCTTCAAGGGTGCCGTCAAATAGACGTCACCGCAGATTCTGCGGATCTTGAAAAAGCTGCCAATCTCAGATAGTGGGGCATCCATGTAGCCCCACGACCGAAGAATACCAACTGAAAACTTCCTCTGTCTTGTGCATGGCAAACCAAAATCATCAGGCCCCACAATGATTGACTGAAAATCATAGAGGCTAGATAGCATCTTTGTCGCAGCTTCGCTTTCGTCGAACAAACTTGTGCACTCCATAATTATAACTTTCTCTTGTTTGGCACATCGCTCTCGGACCCACATGATGTTGGCCTGGTTGCCCTTGCCAACAAGTCCGTGCTTGCTCCCCATACAACTCCAATCCAAACCTAAGTCCGGCATGAAGAACACGCGAAAAGGCAGAATCTACAACGAGAGCGCGAGTGCGGTATCGGAAGCAGGAGTGGCGGGAGTGGGAGTGCGAGCAAGCGAGCGGCGAGCGAGCGAGAGAGAGACCGAGAGAGACAGAGAGAGAGAGAGAGAGAGAGAGAACACAGAAACTGAGCATCGGACAGGAAATCCCCGCAATGGCTATTGTCAACATGCCTTGATCCTCATAAGTCCGGGTGTCAGGGATCGGACAGACCTTGTCGTGAACGAGGCAAAAGCTGGTAGCCCGCCGAAAATCGACCCCGCTCAAGCACTCATGCAATTTGGCTGTGACGTCTTGACCTGCTTGTTTCTGCATTGCCATGAGCTCGAATTTCTGTCGCCTCTGCGGGGAAGAAACCGTGTCCACACCGGCTTCGGCTTGCAACAGTTTCTGCTGCAGATCTCGCGAGGCTTGCTCACACAACTCGTCCATCTTCTGCCTGAGTTCTCAAGTCTCAAGCTAAGCTAAGATTGGAGGTGCACGCTACGGATTCAAAAACACAAGATGCTCACATATGTTCACACCATGCAATAAGCCAGGATGCCTGCAGCTTTCAGGCAGTCGATCCAACATGTTTGCAAACACATGCTGATATCTGAATGGAGCTGGAAAGGAAAGCAGAGCCCGCTGAGCAACTTCAGAACAATCGCAGGCATGCAGCGGCAGCACACCATTCATCACCGGGAAGTCCTCCTTGAGCTGCTGCTCCAAATATGCCAAGGCGATACCGGGGGCATCATAGCCGGAGTAGTGCGTCACCAAAACCTCGGGTCAGAACATGGAAGCAAACAGCTTTAAGGCTTTAAGGTATGATCCACTCACAGCACAACGACCCAGCAATCACGCACATTTGTGTTTGCTCCCTCGGCTCTCTCATCTTCGGAACTCGGACGACACAACCACGGCATAAAGTGCCAGGTCATGATGAGCTGCTGCATCTTCAATGCAACAAACGGAACTTAGTGAGAATCTGAGACTGATCGGTAGGCAGCGGCTGGCACGGCATGCTGCAGTTGCACTATTACAAAATGAAACTTAATGAAACTATAGATTAAATCACGCACGGCACGGACCGTCACGGACCCGCCGATTCTGGCACTCTTCTAGTTTCTAGACTTCTAGCTTCCGGCTTCCGAGTTTCGTTATTTGATATATTGGGGGGCTAGCCGCTGCAGCAAGCATACCAGCAAAACGCACAACTGCCCACAGATTTGGACTTTGCACAGAATCGTGCTCCCCAGGGCTCCCCAAATCCACAGACTGTCTTGCAGTCTGCAAAACAAAACACACCTTTCAGGGCCCAACCTGACTGGCTTTGCCAAACCCTCTCTACACCGTACACCCGCCGCCGCGCCTCACATCCAGCCGCTGTTTGAAATCACTTCTTGGCCGCTGCCGCTTTTTTCGCATCGGCCCCGGCAGCGGAGGACTTGGCCTTCATCATGCTCAGGAAACGCTCGTTGCCCGGCTGGCTTTCGCCCACGGCAAGCTTCTTGATCTCATCGGTTTGCGGATTGGATGGAGCTGCTACGGCAGGGGCGGCCTGAATCCTTGACGGGCTGTCCAGGTGAAGTCTTGGGCGCTTCTTCGGTGTCTCCGTCACCGCCACGGCTTCACCATCCTTCGTTGGCTCAGGCTGAGACCTTGCACCATCGCCATCGACCATGTCAGGACTCGGCTTCGACTCCAGCGAGCCTGCTGCCTCCTGCACCAGACACAAGTACACAAGAACAACATGGCATGCATTGGGTGGGGTTGCTTATCCTGGGCAGCCTAAAAAGCCTCCTTCCCTGCCACCCTTTACGGGGCCATTTTCAACCCCCCAATCTCAGCTACGAGATTGGGGGGTTGAAAATGGCCCATGTTTAATGAGAAAATGGTCCCCGCTTTTCGTGAGGGCTCCAAGCTGGCCTATAAATGGTACCTTTTCTTGCTATGACTTTCAAGTACCAAGTCAACAGCGGCAGCTAGAATGACCACCACGATTTGTTGAAGGTTTTGGGCTCAGGGTTTAAGGATTTCTTGTTTTGTTCGTTGTTCAAGACTAAAGTTCAAGATTGTAAACCAACTGCATGCATGAACGGACTCTGCAACACTGCAGCACCGAATGCATCATGGCATCCCGAATCCCGAATCCTCGGCACTGGCATTGGCATCCTTAGC